GTCTGGGAATGTACCAAGTTCACGGCTCACAATGGGAATAATCGTAAATACTGTAGCAGAGGACTTTGGACATTGAGGATCCAACTAGGTTGCCCTGACAACACATCACATTAATAATTGTAAGCCTCTTATTATGCTGCCATTTGTGAGTTGTTGCACATAAGAATGTATGCTCCAGATTCATCTGGAAAAAATCGCGTAGAAATAATGGCCTGTATTTTAGTGTGGAAGCCTTCAAATAAATTCAATTTAAAATATAATTTTACAATAATCTTATATCTCATGATATGTGCTAGTAGGCAAATTGAAGTGAAATTTAGAGCTGAATTGAATTCATGATTTGCTAAACTCCTCAACGTGGTCATATAGGCAGGAAGACCTAAACGAACGTACCTTGTCCGGAGTCCATAGTATTCATGATAATTTCCAGAGTCGGACTGTGGAAATGGTACATTCGCAGACGCTTTGTCTGCATCGCCAGTGGGCTTTGCCAATCTTAGCACCATACTACAACTCGTCAAAAAGACAAGTGGACTCCGGACAAGGTGCTTTGCTCTAGGTCTTCCTGAAAATATGACCAAGTTGCAAAGACAAGGTCATACAACTACTTTTAAGCGGAAGGAGACCGCGACCATACAAAAGGTGACACCATCTTGGACTTCTTATCTTCGATAAACTTCTCAATATGATAAATTCAAATGTCTTAAATTTTTTTTTCTTTTCTCAAAAATCAAAACTTTGTAAATATTGTACTTATTCTAGCTATGATTATAAATTTAAAGCACTACTAGTAGGCAGTTAAGATTGATTTAGATAGCGTTTTAGTTACGTCAAATGTATCAATCTATCTGATTTCGTATTTTATTATTTACATTAAAGGGCAATCGCATTCAAGCTATTCATGAGTATATACTTTTAGCTCTGAATTTTCACGATTCTGGAAATGCAAACACAGATTTTACTTTTTCCACAATATAACCATCATTAGTAAGCGGTTAGGGCTGAAATGAATGAAATTCCTTTGGATGTGCTTTAAAGCATATTAAAAGTGAATCAATTTGCACTCTGAACTCTGCCAACTTGCGTGTGCAAAGGGCAAATGTAAGTTGGCTGGTAGAGGGATAGAAAATAGATCATGTATCTTGGCCTATGCTTTATGAAGAATTACCACAACCTATTATCGAAGGGTCATTTCAATCAGCCACTTTTTAAAGGATGTCAACCAGCTGCTCCAAGTAGGCATCAAATAAAACAATATAATTAATATTACTGTCGAACGATTTGGCCAGTCTAATAACAATAAAGCATACAGTATGAAGACTAGGATGGTGTGGCCTTTTGTATGGTCTTTATATATAAGTTGTTTGGCCTTGGTTTCGCGAATTGGTCATATTGGCAGGAAGACCTAGAGGATGCACCTTGTCCGGCATTAATGCTATGCATGCTCATTTCCAAAGTCGGACCATGGACGTGGTACTTTCCCAGACGTTTCGCCGGCATCGTCAGTGAGTCTTGTCATTCTCAGCACCATACCAAAAATCGTCAAAGAGACAAGTGGAGTCAATGCCTTGACCAACTTTCTGTCGGGACGGTTGTGCTACCACTGCTCGTTTTGTCTTGGTCCCTCTGTCCCTTTCCTACCCTCCAGTCTCGCCCTCGTCACATCACAATTTCTGTCATGTTTATGCGCCACAAGTGATGCTCCCTTTGGGCGAATTTAAGATGGCGTCATCGCATCTGCTCTTTGTCTTGCTCCCCTCCCTGTCGAGTGGCTGATCCTGCTCCAGTCTCCTGTCCGGATCTGCCTCATGCTCCCGTGAGTCCGTTTCTTCTCTTTCTGGTTCACCGATTCACTCGGTTCCAGCCGCTGCGTACTTTTGCTCCAAATGCGATTTCTCAAGCCTTCTCAGTTACCTTCAGAGAGCCGAGGCTCTGATTCCCATGTCTGCGGATGCTGGGCATTACCATCACTCATTCTCTCCTCGATTAAGCACGTGTGGCCTGAGCAAAGTGTGGACATGTCACTCTGGTCACCTGCTGCATCTCAAATGGATTATCCGCCCATTTGATCACAATGCCCGATTTCTGTCGCCCAATCCATCTCCTTAGTCACGTGAAACGCCGGCTCCTTTCGAGCTGACTACCCACACTGAAAACGTCTTCGCTTCATTTTGAAACCTCTTCACCCTCTTCTTCTTTGCGATCGCTTTTCCTCCGGTTTACGATGGATCCTTGATCCGGGCGTCTCCTTTTTGCTTGTTTTCTTTCAGCCCTGCTTTCTCAGAGTTTTGATTAGGCAAGAGGCAAAGTTATCACTGACTTTGCCTTCTTCCAGTCTCCTGTTCATTACATTTTTCGTATGTAAGCAGAGTTTCGAGACGACGAGTAAATCAGTAATATGAGATATATTCACCCTATTTCGTTTAAGGCGACTGGAAGTAGAATTCTGCCACAATAAAATGAGTAAAGCTGACGTTTCCAGTGAATTTCACATAGGCTTGCTTTGCCAAATTTGTTTCCGCTGGGGGTATGCGAGAATCCTACCACCGGTCCTTCATCAACTTAAACGAAATAGGCTGAATACATCTCGTGTCCCGTCTCTACGATGTGTTCCGCTGATTCTGACCTTTCTGTATCCCCTTTCCTGCTGAGTCTTTGATGCTCCGTGATTCGTATGCTGATTTTCCTCCCAGTTTCGCAGGTGCCACATGCTATGCCGTAAACTACTTTGTCTATCCTCTCCTATTGCATGGGAAGACTTGTGAAGAGTGTTTTGTTTTTTCCTTCGTGGTCACCTGAATATTCCATTTTCTTAATATTGGCCGTCGTTTTTGAGCTAGTTTACAGGAAGAGAAGAATACCATTTTCGTGAGTCTTTCTCCATCCTTACCTTTCTTTCATGATCTCCTTCCCACCATCGGCTCTTAACGGCCAGCATGTTTCTTTGAATTACTTCTCTCGAGTATGCATCACCGAGAAAATATCAGAGTCAATTTGTCCAGCTCCTCGTCTCAGAATTCTACATCCGTTAAATGTAGGCTTCTGATCATCATGCTCCTCAGTATGCCCATCTTCATTCTGTAATTGTGAGGAGACTCGAAATTGAGTATTATTCCGACATATGGCTTCTTTCGGAACAACTTCCTCTTGAGTGTCCCAGTAGAGCGAATAACCTCCACATCTAGCAGGGCAAAACGCCCCTCCTCCTCTACATCCATTGTGAATTTGATTTTTTTTCATCAACCCCATTCATAAACTTCAGGAAATCCTCCAACTCTTCTCTTCCATGCGACCAGGTACCGCATAAATACTCTTGCTTGCAGCGGTGACACCTCGAAATTCTCTTCCAATCTGTCCATATATACATTTGCCAATAGAGGTGAGAGCGGTGATCCCATAGGAAGTCCAAATGTCTGTTCATAGATGCTGCCATTGAATGCGAAGTAGGTAGCACTTATTGTCAAATTGATTAATCGTGTTAACGGCTCCCTTCTGATACTCTCTGCTTCTAAATTATCTTCTTCTCGATAAAAAATTCCTAACAGGGCCGTCAACGCCTCTCTCAAGCATAATATATTAAAAGATACAATAGGTCAAAATAAGAGTACCAAAAAGAACTTATCCGAATGAATTATTCAATATAAATCAGATACAAAAACTTCCAGTTTTTTCTCACAACTAGTAAACATGTTATTGGAATGAGATATAGCTACTCTATTTCCTTCGATCATATGAGTAGGTCTCAGGTTACCAATTCAGTTGCATCATAAATAAAACCTTATATACCTTTGAATAAACGGTTATTTATTTTAATCTTTATTAGTTAGGTAAACATATTGCTTATTATTTGAAGTAAATTTCACCTATGAATAGCTTCAGCCCTTGCATTATAATGTACTCTGCGATTTTATGATATGCTAAATCATTTAAGTTATCAATAAGATTGGAGATGTATATTTTTTCTTAGATTTCTATAAAAAAAAGCGAAGTTCGAGGGCTTTGAACCATAAAGATTAAGGGCTTTCTGTAACCCATCCTGTCAGTAGTATATATGTGCTACCAAATAAATCAGTTTAGTATGTTTGAATGAAAAAAGGAGAATGCTATTAGCGTATGCATTCTGGCCATGCGTGCAGCTAAGCACCAGTATTACTTCAATAATGCCTGGTATATCATAATGATAACTATTGTCATATTTTTAAGGATTCTAAATTATGTAAAAACATATGAATTCAGAATTACTTGAATAAATGTTATATTTATTAAATGGGTTAAGCTTACACATCATATATAGATAAATTATTAAGATATATATATATATATATATACAAATGTTCATATTCACATTTTTGGACAGGAAGATTCTTTAGTGAAATAGTTTACTATCATACTGCTTGTGTATAATTATATATCGGCTGGAGTTCCGACTGACCTGAAAGCCGAATATATGAATATAAGCTGTGGAAGAAATAAGTTTTCAAAATGAATGACATCTATGCGGAAAATATTTTGCTTTCCAGGCTCCAAATTCAACCTAGCTTATCAGAAAAGGCTACTTTAAAATAGTATATCTCTAGAGAGAAATATAAACTATAATGTGTAGTCAAAAGTGACCTAGTTTTACATAAATTATATCGATTATTTATAAAGAACTACATGTAAAACTAACTTAGAACGCTGATGCCTATAACTTGAAACAGATTACAATAAATATAATAACACATTGAAAAATATTTGCTTCTATGTCATGCATTCATATTGATGTCTCTTCTAGTCATTTTATTTTGTGAATTATATTCATGTAAGTATTCATAAACTCTTCTTAATTACATAGTATAGCTGAAGTATACACCTTTTTTGCATGCAACATCATAGCTGAATGATTTATCCTATGAATTATACTGATTTTAATTATGATTTGCCATAACTGATTCTACTACCTAATTTTTTCATTTACTTTGAATTCACGAATGCCCCAATTGGAAAACGACATCTAAGCACATATAGATAGGAGGTAGAAGATAAATATATTTTTGACTAAAGCTACACTTCAGAGGCAGTAAATTTTGTACAGTTTCTAGACAACAATAAAATATCCCCATCCTGTTAAAGGTGAAGAGAAATAGTCGAATAATACTTTATTGAGTTTTCTAGAAATATGATGAAATAATGCTTGAGCTATCGTTACAACCAAGAACTCTTATTTTCGCTTCCTTGTATTAGATTAAAGCTGTGAGCATATCGTTATAGGATGGAAAATTTCTTCCTAGTCGTATAGATTTATTGTTAATTACTTGGAATTTTGCTTACAAGCACTTAGCTTTAACGCATGTTTAAAGTGACAATTATTTACTGGATTGATCTACGGCCTGAAGTAGCGGAATAATATTTCAAAGAATGCAAAATAAAATGAAATTATTATTCATATTAATAATGTAGTAATTTTATTAATACATTATAAATATTTAATTAAGGCTAAAATAAAATAAAACTAATGTGAGCTAGTATCAGATAACTTCAATTCCCAAATGGTTTATAAATCTTAAATCATTAATTGAACAGAACAAGTAAGCCTTAACTATTGAGACGTGATCCAAACTTTGTATAATAAAAGATTATGAACATACTAAAAATTTGTTGTCCACTATGCACCTTTGGTAATTATTATTTTATTTTAAAAAAGCATCCAGTATTACTCCATATTGATGACAATTCTCTACTAGTTTTCATCATCACTGACTGAAGAATGATGAAATCTTGTCAGAAATCTTACCAGAGTAATCCATCTTATGATAGAAGGATTAAATTAATTGGATTGCTGAGATAGGCAACTCCATTCATCATTGGATTATGTGGAACTGTACTCATTTTAGCAACCTATATTTACCCCTCTGTTTTTACTCTTTGTGGAGTGTGAATTCGACTGGCAAATCAATACTAAGTCATAAATATTGTAAAATTGTACTGGTAAAGTCTATGACCTTAAGTTTTTGAC